TTTTTTTTTTTTTTTTTTTTTTTTTTTTTTTTTTTTTTTTTTTTCAAAAATTCATTTGTTCATTCTACATTGTAAATTGACGGATTATACATTGCGTCTTGATTTGGGTGATAATTGACAAATGTAATCATTTCTATCATATAGAAATGCTACATACTATTGCATGGGGTTAGTATTGTTTCATCAGCGCCCTTAAAAACCAACAGTTACTACTAGAAGTTAATCCTTAGTGGCTACTTTATGCTTCGTAGAAGTACGTCTTCGACTTTCTCAGAATTTTTTTATTCTTTTCCTCCTACATATCTGTGTCCATTGGACACATCTAACTGAAGAATATAAAACGTACTCTGGCCTAAGATTTCCCTTCATTTAGATCTAGATTTTTGCGATGGCTAGGGGGATATAAAATACCAGCTGGAATTGAACCATTATCATTTGTTATCAGAATCAATTGTCTCATTCATATTCTGCAAACCAAGACTGGGAAAGAATCTGTAGAACTCTTCATTTGTTCTGAATATCTCAAAGCTATTGGCAATTATAAAAATTACAAAATTATACCTTTCACAATGAAACAATGCTTTTAGGTTCTCGTACCATTGATTATTGCATTCTTTAATTCAATGAAATTCTTATATTCGCTACACAGAGACAAAGAAGAGTTCTGCATGTGTCAGTGGCGCCATCCCCCCCGGAACTGCCTCTTAACGACACTAGCGTTTGAATGATCTGGACCTCAGCTAGTTAGCGCAGAAACAGCACGATCAAGATTAACAATAAAAAAAACCGCAAGACAAACGTGGCTCGCAACCATAGGTTAGACTCTGACAGCTAGGCTGCAGATGTTTTCGCAGTTTCATATTTTGAAGAACACGACCAAAGAAATGGAATCTACATAGCCAAATATTACAATGAGTACAGTGATCACCTATTGCGGATCCAACTTCCATGATCTACAATCCCAAACCAAATAATTTTCGCGCACAACTTACTTTCATTCTTGACATTACTTATTATTAAATTTCTTTTTTTCCGCATTTCAATGATTTTTAGTTGGTGTACTCCATAGAAAAACATACATATTATTGTTGGATACTGACAATTTGCAAGATTTGTACTTGATTGATTAATTTCGTTTCACTGTATACTCCTACTTTTTTATACTCCCTTACATTTTTGCAGTTTTGTATTTCTAAAATTTCCTTCCCTTCACGCAAACGTATAAACATCCACAGCCTACTAACAGTCTAATAGCCAGCGAAGTTGCTAGGCGGTCGTGGAACGTCGAAGCGTGGATTTCCGTCGTACGAGACCTGTGCGCTGAAACCGTGTTTCCAATCGGCGGTGTAGCGAACGATTTGCAGCCTCCCATCCGGAAGCTGGACTCTGTACTCCCCACGGACGATGTCTCCGTCGCTTATCGCGTTATGGGAGTAGTCATTTCCAAAGGCTTCCTCCTTGACCGCGTAGTTGAAGTCGAACGGCATTCCTGGCTCGTGGTGATGATGATCGTGCTAGAATTTGAAGATCAATTAACAAAATCTTCGAAATACTACAAATATACTACAATAATATGCTACGCCAAATGCTTCCACTGTAAAATCTTGAAGATGACTTAAAGTTTTTAAAACTCTTGTACGATATGAATTTATCCATTGTCAATGAAAACTGCAGTTCAATGACCATTCATCCGTGACTTTCACAGGAAAAGATAATTCTATAGATATCTTCTTTCGTTGAAACTCACACCACCAGCAGGCAAAGTAGTTCCAGTTGGTCTGGTGGGTGTCCCGTAATCGGGGAATTCTGGAGTGGGTCTGTTGCCTGATGGTGGATAACCCTCGTCAGGGTGAGGTGGTCTGGAAGGTGTGAATTTCTGAGGTGGTTTCGAGTGCGGGCGCGTTGTAAACGGCGTCGTTGTAGTAAATGGCGGCCGCGTGGTAGCCGGAAATGGTATTCGCGGTGTATCGTAGTTGTAACCCTTGGTTGGTTCAGGCGGCAGATAGGTGTTGCGTCTGGTCCCTGGTGGTAGGTCGCATATCACGTGCATTACTGCCATGCAGAATATTGCTGTCTGTTGTAAAAAATATAAACATAGATACATTTTGCACAACGTAACGCCATTGCTTTAACAAACTATCCTATTAACCAATTTGCGAGAACAGAGTCCAGTCTTTCGAGGAAATAAAATGTAATAGAAAGAAAAAGAAAATTTGATAAGAAAATTCTGTCTGTCGCAATGACAATGAAAAGGATCTCCCAGCGAGGCGGAGAAAAACTGGAACGAGACGAAGGAAAAAGAGACACTGATTCTCCTACTCTCGTCCACCTACTCTCATTTACACAACAGCACACACTGAACCATGGCGCAGCCTCTAATTCCTCTCGACGAAACGCGTGTCAGCTGCGAGCAGAAAACTATTCGCGGCGCATGGATGCGAGTCTAACGAACTGTTGGCGTGTTGCAAATTGGTCTACGCTTGGATTCGGTAATAAGTCGACAGACATGTGCAATGCGACATCCGCGGGCATTTCTTCAATTAGTAGCCCGACAGATTATGCAAACAGGGCCTCTTGAAACGAGCCTCATAATTGATAGTAATTGTCGAACTCTTGCCAACACGTCGGGCACTTCTTACGGCCCAACCTAACGAATCGCGTGTTGCAACGATCCCGATTACAATAAACGAAGAATGATCGATTTCGCAAGAGGGACTTAGCATTAATGGCAATTTCAATTATTCGAATCGATAGATGATAAATTTGA